TCATTCCATTTTTCATTATTCTTAAAAAAAATGACATGGAGAGAAAGGGTGGGCTTGTTAATTCTGGACCACCAGGTCCTATCTTGGGTTGCACTCAGATTGGATTTCCACAAAAGTTAATAAATAACCTCAAGGTCCTTAGACTTTGTGTGACAATGAATTGAGGGTTGTAACAAACCCTAAGATGAAATTTATTACCAAAAGCTAACACCCAAATGTGCATAAAACCAAGATAAGCCACTTGTATCCTTTTTTTCAAATTGCCTCTCATTCAGATGTTTTACTCTGCTACCTGACATAGACTTTGCTATTGCCATCTGTCTGCTTCTATGAAATCCAATAAGACCCCTAATTTTTCTTATCTTTTGCCTTCATCAAATAACTGTGTATACAGGTATGGACCTCAACAGAAACATTTTATTCTATACCCTGTGATGGTCTATGAATTAGCAAAGTTACAGTTTGTGGAATGTTAACTTTGATCCCAGTTAAAACATAGGTTTATGAATAAAGACAATTTTTAATGACTTGAGTGCTGGTCAATTAAATGTACTTGTCAATAATAAAATTTGAGACTAGATTTGCAAACTTAAAGATGAATGCAAGAGATGCTGAAAGAAGTGCTCTTAGGTCCTACATGTCAGGTCTTACAAGTATAGCTTTTGGTGACCTTAGGCTGGCCTGGATACAGCCACAAATTTAGTCAGACCATGCTGGTCAGGTTTATTTGATCAGCCAATTAAATTAACTCAGTTGTTTCTGGTCACTTAAACAGTCACTCCATGCTGTTTCCTTCCCCTAAATCATTGAAGCAATTTATAAATATTTATTTTATTTGATAAAAGAAAAAACATGCATTGTCAATAGCATTAAGGTATTAATAAAGAATTTCAAAGATTTGATCATATCTGAGAAAACAACATAGTGTCAATGATATTATGATTGGTACATTACTGAAAGTTATTTATGATTAAGTATAGATTGTTAACAGTTGTTACTCTTTTTGATAAAACTTAACCCTATGACCCCTAAGAGTGACTAGCATCTAATTTCTCCTCATAATATCACTCCTAAATCACACATTAAGGTCACAAGAATAAAGGAAATGATGACCAGCTAAAGAGGCTCTTGATTATTGAACAAATTCTCTTCATCTGCACCCTAGGAAAAGTATAGAGAACAGTATGGAGAATACAGAGACTAATGTTAGGGTACAGGGTTCATGTTGGAGCAATTAACCCACTCAAAACAAAACAGACCCACAATTATAAAATAACCAACATTGGGAACTTGCAATGTTATCCACTTTAGGTCACTTCTTAAGACATTATAAAACTCACCCATGCTGCCACAATTTAGTTATTCCTGTATTCAGAAAACTTAGATGCTGTTGCCTTTTTCAACAGTTTTCTGTTGGAAATAAAAATAATTTTAACACATCATTTGGCACAGAAAACATGCTTGATAATCCTTAAGATTTTACATCATAAACCACCTTGCCAAATTTGTGTTTCTTCATAAATTTTCCTCAGATGTCAAGGTTCTTAATATAATTATATGTAATCTGTGCTTGAATAGTTTCTTTAAATATCAATCATAGTCATTTCCAGGTAATTGGTACAAGTTGTACCTCCAGGTGATATTCCCAAATTTATATAATCATGAAATTTGATACAGCAAGTCTTAGTAAATAAAAAACTTAAATCAAATATAAAAAGCAAATGTACATGCTTTGTGTTTGTATTAATCTACGATTGTCAACAATTTAATATCAAAATTACTGACAAGAAATTAGACTGATCTCATTTAGACATAAGTTTTGCTTTTAGTTCAATTTCAGTATGTTGAGATCAATCTGAGTAATGATCCTTGTCAGCCTGCTTTAAATCTGTCCAGAGAAAAACATTCATTTTTAGAGTATTGAGTATTGGAGTGCTGAGCTTTAAAAATAAAGTACTAAAATAAAGTGCTTTGCCCCCAGTTATTATAAATTCTTCTAAAGAGCTGCAGAGGCAGCTCTTTAGAATAATAAAGCTATGACTGATGTATATTGACAATCTTATACACTTAGTATTTCAAACTTCAAATATCATTTCTGTGATTTTACTGTCAAATATTTGGGTTTTGGTACAGGCTGTTATATGTAAAATGTGAAATGGCAGCTAAACATATTTGGCTACAGAGCTGAAAGAGCTATAACAGTGTAAACATGATCATTGGTTGACTGCACTTTCTAGGTTAAACAGTTCATTTAAATTCCACTGTTATTTAGCTCCTGTGAGCTATGGTGAAAAAAAAAATACAGATATATGGAAATGAACTGTAAACAAAGGAAACATTGGTGAATGAATGCAGGGAGTCCTAAACAGCAAATATCTCTGTTGGAATTAAATAGAAGTTTTCAGTTGCATCCCATGGTGATCGATGCAAAGTGGAAGAAGTTCAAGTTTGATTAATATAGAAGTTTAATACATAGAAGCTTGCAGTCTACAATCTTCATGTTTTTTGAACTGTGCTCAACTCAAACCCAGTATACCATGGGAACCTTAAGCAGCCAACTCACAGTTTTCTCAAGATACAGATTTGTCTTATGGTCAGCAAAATATATTCAATCTAGGAAGCAAGCACTGTGGATGCTAACTGGGATTGAGAAATTCACAAACATTTCTAATTGGCTTTGTTCTCAATTTACAAGTCACCTGTGATCGTACGGACCAGGCTGAAAGGAAAGGTTTCATGGCTAGAAACTGAGAGACAATTCTGAGCTTTATGTGTTCATGCCCTTTCATCAAACAACAAATAAAGCAAAGAACATAAATAAAGAGTAGGGCATAATAGAATATAAAAAAATGAATCAAATTCAAAAGAACCATATTCCACTTGAAAATGTGCCTTTTTTTTCATGAAATTACATTGTTTTCACATCACTTCCCCTTTTTTTGCTCATTAAGGATTTTGAAAAGCAATAACATTCTTTGAGGTCCACCAACCACAAAACAGTATGCTCAGATTACTTGAGTGGGTAGGGGAGGGGGTTGGGAAGGGTCAATTAGATTGGAGACTTGTTTTATAAAGGCTACAAAGATGGTACAATTTCAGGTAACTATTATTAAATAGGCTTTGTTACCAATAGAAACAGAGTTAAAGGTAACCATAGAAATTAATTGAAGAACTATAGATTTCTTAACCAAGTTTGGTTGGTTTTAAATTACCTTTCTGTGTATTTAAACCCAGGTCACTGGTCTCTTATTAGTTTCATGCATTGTTTCTTTTTCATGAAATGTGTCAGTCATTGCAGTCTATGTGGGAGATATTGTTCTACATAGCACAAACAAGTACATATGCCTATGAATATGGTGTCTGGTAACAACAGCCACAACAACAAGTTACATCAAGTACTACAATTCGATTGTCACACAATCTGCTATCGGCAGACTGCTGCTTGGAAGCAAGAGTCATAAATAGATTTGTGAGAGAATATGGCTGAGTGCTTGAAAAGACTTGATGTCCATTTGAAAGTGCTCTCTACAAAAGCCACACATAGCAGGATTCCTCATGCCATCACTGATTTCTCAGATAGACCCAAACTCAAGGATGATTCAATCTACAGCCGTTGGGAACACTCTGACATCTAAGCAAAATCAACATTTTGTTTGAAAGAATTGCTCAGATATTTGCATAGTATGCATCAGAAGGAAGAGGGATTACCTTAATCAAGAGTAGAGAAAAAGGAAAGGAAAAGAAAGAAAGACAAGCAAAAAAATAATAATGTGGATCTACAAGTCTGCAATTTATTTTTTTTGGTTTCCCCCATGATGTCAAGTTCACCCTTTAATGATCAGTGCAGCCGTTCAAAAAATATAACCCCATTGTTTCCTCCAAACCAACCTTTCCCCGAGTTAAGTTTTCGGGAAATTTTATCCAGGTTTCCTAAAAACAAACCCAATTATCTTTTTAGTGCGGTTGCAGCCATTGTCTGTCGGGTAGTTCCACTCCCTTTAATTGTTTTGGTTTCGTTTCCCTTTTGTTTTCGTTCCTTTCGCTTGTTTCTGTCGCTTTGCTCTGGTAGTTTTGACGTGTTATAATCTAGTCACGTGCAGAATCATGTAATCAGTAATCGGATATCCCTGTTGTGCAATGTATGATTTCAGTTCTAGTTTTCGACCTCATTAAAAAGCATATAGATCTACAACATTCGTGTCCTTGGTTTATTACATGACGGTTTCGCCTGTCTCTCTGATTGCATCTCGTTTCACTTCGAAATTTCGGTTTTAGTACATAGGGTTACGTATAAAGTGTGAAATTGCTTGTAACGTACTTAGCGATGGAGTTACAACAACGTACACATCACGCATTAAGTGTTTTGCAATTTCTGAATTAAAATGCCTCATTTAAATGCCATTGTTGCGGACTCCTGTAAGTTGAAATGAAAAAGGAGAGAGATGCAGCAAGGTAACTAGAAACAGGACTAGACAAACATTAGTGAACCGGCCTACGGTACGTTGGAAAGCTATCATATCCCTACAGCAATTCGTTCGTGATAAAAACAAGTTCGTGGTCTACAATCTGCATGTTTTCAAGGTTTTTGAAAAATACTTGAAATCAGAGTCTGTAATTTGTTCTAAATCTGTTGCATAAATATATGTTACAATATCCATCATATTTTTGAGTCGCATTCGCGAAAGCGAAAGATGTACGTTTAATTCCTAAGCAAACTACGTATGCTTGTATGCATGAATGTTGAAATACATTTAAATTGATTTTTTGATCAAATTTTTAGTGCTGTTATGAAATGTTTTAATTTAACACAAATTTAGAGTCCTTGCTGCAGTCACTGTTATACCAAAAGAGAAATTTCTTCTCGAATGACCACAACCTAACTTGACTTGAATCGTTCTTTGATGAAGCGGAAGTTTGGTAATATTATTCTCAGGATTTCAACAACGCTCAACTTACATTTGTACAAAGTAGAATCACAAAATCTCAGCATGTCTACCTACCTTTACATAGAGATGCTGATTCGTCTTGTGTGTGGTTCGCAGGATGTCTCCCAAGCTGAAAATAAGGTTCGTTTGGTTCTCGCTGCGATCTAAACGTTCACAAACATTTTAATAGCCAGTCATCGTTCTCAGCTTACATGTCACGTGAATCAGAAATGATTCCATTTGGCGGCGGGGCGCTGATTTACTATTGGTTCCTCAGGAGAGGCACTTATACGAAACAAGGCGCTTATTTAGGGACAGAGAACTTAATTCTTTTTTGAGAAACAGCATGTGAAACAGAGCTTTGATGCTTATATGACTGAAGTTCAAAAAGACTGGAAAAGGGACTTGTCCCTGGATCTTTTCTTCCTAAACGACTAACAAAGGGATCGTTGCAAATTTTAAGACGGGTTCTTTGGTTTGAAGGAACTGTGCACTCGCGGCGAGATAATAGTTGAGATTGTGACAAAGACTACTCCTTCGTCGTGGGGCTTCAAGTGTGCAATTAAGGAAAGATGGACCGCAGTTGATCTCAATGTACATGTACTATAACAGTGCTATTACTGAAACAGAATAGGGGCGCTCATTGGAATATGAGCGCTTATGGGTATAGGGACGCTTATTGGAATGAGGGTGCTTACTCAGTAGGGGCGCTTATTAACAAGAACAAATTCGAGGGGGCACTTATTTTGGAAGGAGGGCGCTAACTCGAATCGTTGCGGTAATTGTAGAAATAGGAACGACTGCGTGACTATTTCAACTAACGTCTGGGAGAAAAAGCGCGCGTCACGCGATCATGCACAAGTCTTTTTCCTTACGCCTTTGTACTAACAAACAAGATAGCGAATAAAAACCAAGCGCTTCAAGTCCCATCAAAGCCTGAATTTTTAAGGAATCTTGTCCACAATATCTTTAATAGCAGCTCACTGACAAGGATCATTTCTTCGCTTACATTTCATCAGCTGGTCAACAAACCATTTATATTTCATTTGATTGTGATCAGATTCTTTTACAGTAACGAAAAGCTTAATAAAATTTGTAGGGGAGAGAATTAAAGTTTGCCGAATCTCAATAATTAGACTAGTCCTTGATTCTGATAGAGGCGTAACTACCTGCCGTTGGATTTCCAACGAGAATCGTTATGGACTTTTATTTCAATACAAAAGCCCAGAACATTTCAGTTAGATAACAGAATAGAGTGGTCGGCAACAGTGAATATCTTTGTAAGGTTAAGGAAAATTCCAATGCTGGCTTATTGCCAGCATCGGAATTGACGTGCCTCGTTGGCAACATCTTCTATTATGTGGGTTGTGAGGAGAGACCAGACCCCTGACTGTATAATAACAAAATTACACTGTTTAAATTAGTAATTTCAATCGGAAAGTATGTGTTGGCTTTATGAGCGTGGTCGGGAGAAGTTAATAGTTTATTTTCTTTATTTTCTTTTTTTTTTCATAACTGAACCCAAATTTCTTAATGAATCTAATCCCAAGCAAACCATTATGACATGTGGCGGCCTTCCATTTCCTATTTTACCTTGTAATCTACTTCGACTCAATAAGAATAATGGATTTTAAAGCGCTGGAGTGAGCAGTTGATAGCAAAAGAAAACAGCCATGAGTACAAACAAGTAACTTACGTTTCTAGAGCATACCTTGACTTAAATCGTTCTGTGATCTTCTGTGATACAGCGGAACTAGTATGATATCTTCAGGAATTCAACAACGAAAAACTTAAAATATTGCTGAGAATATACCTTGAGAAATCTAATTTTTGATCGAGATGCCGATTCGTCTTGTGAATGGTCAGCAAGATGTCTCACAAGCTGGAAAGCAACCACCTTCGGTTATGACTACGAACTACGAACTACCAACAATACCTTCACGGACATTCCCTGATAAATCCACCCATCAAAGTGGCCTCCTTTCCACTCTACATGTCATGAGGTGTCTAAAGAATGTGACAGGGAGTGACAGGGACGATTGCATGATCAGCGAGTAAGCAAGGTCTTGAGCGTCACGCGATCACGCGAGTGCCTTTTTCACGCCTCTTTACATATAAAAAGTAAAATAGAGATAATCGGCGTAATTAAATAAAATAAGTTTTGCAGGTCATTGCCGAGCAATTCGAAGCTTCAACATTCCCCCACTCCGGTCTTTCTAGCGGAACACACTTTTCTACATTTTAATATGGAGGTGAGATGTTTAATGGTAAAAGAGTTTTAAGGCCTGGATAGGTAAATCAATTGCTGGTCAATGAGTAGAAAGTCACGGCCGCTGATGTTGCCTTTTACAAAAAAAATTGACCAGCAAATCCAGCACTTGGGTATGGCATGAGAACACAATTCTGGCCGGGGAAGGGGGGGATTTGAATTTTGAATCAATTCAAAAGTGCAAATGCCGGGGCGGGGGGGGGGGGGGAGAGGAGAGAGTTGACGCTTCCAAGTGATGGACGCATTATACATAAGTACAGAAATAAATGATCCTCGAAAGTGAGGTTCAAAAAAGAAAAAAAAATGCAGAAACGAAACCCGTACCTCACAAATACTGGCTAAGCACTACTTCCAACCACAAGTGCCCAACTAATAATCCGTCCAAGCCTGAATTTTTAAGGATTCTATTCTGCAATTTCTTTGATTGTACATTAACTGTAGGGTTGAATTTTTTAACTTGAACTCCTAATTAATAAACATATAATTCAAACTGACCTGCAAATGTCTCCTGTTCCATTTTTTATTTTTTTAATCAACTGTCTCATAAAGGGTGAGCGCTGCCCCTAAGGAAATTATGTTTTCCCAAGTAATTGCCTTTTATCATTCTCCCCTTTTTTTTCTTTTTGCTGTTTTCTATTACAACAATATTGTAGTCAGGCAACTCTCTTATATAAGGAAAAAATGATATCATAGCACCTTCGCTTGTTTTTCGCCCTGATATTTCCAAAGAGTTAAATGTAATTAAAAATTCTAAGTAGAATTCTGTTCCAATTCACCTTCCTACATGTGCTTAAATTAAAAGTTGAATTTGTGCTGCTATGCAAACTATTCAGTAAAAAATCAAACTATTTACAATACAATACGAATAAACTTTGCTATGTTACCATCGCATTAGTTATGTATTGTAAAGCATAATATCATAAACTGTTATTTCCAAACTATATGAAATCCTTCTTTTCAAGTATAAACAATTTCAGTTGCTACAATAGAGGTTCAATTTGATCGCTCATGGTACCCTAGTTTATGATCGCCCTCGCTTGAATATCTTATTGTAAAATGTACAGCTACACTTCTCTTTAGGCGACTTGGAATATTTGTTCCGACAGCCGAGAAAAAACTGAAAAAACAGGATAGACATTTTCCGACAGCGACGATCTATTTTTAATTTCGACGAAGCGACATTTTCTCGCTTTGATTTTTCTGACAGAGACATCATGACCAGGACAGCGTGACTCTTTTGTGATCTTTCCAGCCTCATCATTTTGCCAATAAACCACTAACAAGTCAATAAAAAATTAAATGTGTTTCATAGTCAACCTTCAACAGTCAGTCTCTTGTTACCTATTGTCATGTTAGGGGTCTGTTACGTTGCGTCACACAAGTGTTTGCGCGCCAAATGCGAATAATCGTTAGGCCGGGTGCCTCTTGTGTTGCCTTTGTTGTTGGCGTGAAATGGGGAAAGATAAGAAGAAATCCCACCGCATTTTGAAGAAGAATACATCGGGACAAAACGAGTCACTATTGGAAAGACAAGAAAGGTAATCTGGGGAATAATTGCAGATAGTTTCCAAGGCGCCTTAAATGGTGGCTTTTGTCATTGCACAGTTATGTTAAGATTTAGCAGCGTCAGTCAATCGATAATGATCAATAATCCTATCCATGACTATTCATTTTACGGAGAGACTTTAGAAAAATTAAGATCACAGATTGTGGGCTAGCCAGCTTAAAGCCTGCGCGTAGTGTTCACCGCAATCCACAAATGACAGCTTCTTTTTTCAAATATTCGCATCATTTCTTGGTGCGAAAATACCTACGTGAAATTATTCTTATGTGCGGAACACTCAATCAAAGAACCCTGTACACCCTAGGCTATAAGTTCAGTAGCAAGATTGGCCCAAATTCGCTCCCGGCATGACAGCAAGCATAGAAAAAAACCAGATCTTGTGGTATAATGCAACTGCTTTGTAGTATAGTATTCGAAGCCATTCCTATTATCACGTCGTAGGGGAATGTCATCAAAAGATATCCTGGTCAAGGCTTAACTCTGAAGAAAGGAGATTCAAAATCGCTTGCGAATGTTGAGTCACACGGGCCCGTCACCACTCTTTAACAAGACAAAGCTGTCTCTGTCGGGAGGGACTACGACGGGTGCGTATGCACATCCCCCTCCCCCATGGGCCACAAAAGTCCGTTTATTTGATACCGGCGATTCAAGAGAGAGTAAGTTCCAAAAATAGGCCTTCAAAACAGTCCTCAAAACGCACAAAATGCATTCTCACTCAACCTAATTTTCTTTAATTTTTTTTGAGGAACATGCCCGGACCCCTCCCCCCCTAAATCTCACACTTCTGGCGCCCGTCAATCCTCAAACGCACCCCCCTTGCGCTAAAACTTGTCTACGGGCCTGCAAAGATATTTGGGTCAGACAAACCTATTTGTCTGAAGCTGGAAAATTCAAAATCGCTTGCGAATGGCAGGAGTCGCGTAGGCCCGTCACCACTTTTTAATTTTTTTTTTTAGCTATACTTTTTTACTGACCTCGATAACACTGATGGAGAAATGGCACCTTATTCAAAACTAACTGCCTTAATGAGCAATATGTAAGGAAAGTATTGAAAAGATAATCTGATAAGAGCTATTAAAATTCTGAAGAAAAAGATTTTAAATCGCTTGCGAGTGGCAGGAGTCGCGCAGGCCCGTCAACACTACTTGGCAGCATTACTTAGTCAGTTGAGTGTCATACGACAGTAGCAGGACGTTTGAATCGGCCCCTGCTTGAGCTCCTTATTCAAATGATGGTATGACATTTATCTGAAGAGAATTGTGTTTTTCATGACTATGTGTAAAGATAAGTACTCGAGTGAGGGGAGCTAAGAAAGCTAAGCCACCGATCGACAGTGAA